ATATATCCAAAAGAGGCTCAAGTACACAAAAAGGACATTTGCTCAGCCATGTTTGTAGCAGCTTTATTTGCAATATCCAGAAGCTGGAAACAACCCAGATGCCCCTCAACTGAAGAATGGATGCAGAAACTGTGGTACATCTATACAATGGAGTATTACTCAGCAATGAAAAATAAGGAAATCATGAAATTTGCAGGTAAATGGTGGGACCTGGAAAGGATGATCCTGAGTGAGTTGTCCCAGAAGCAAAAAGACACACACAGTATATACTCACTCATATAGACATACAACATAGGACAAACTCACTAAAATCTGTGCATCTAAAGAAACTAAGCAAGAGAGAGGACCCTAACTAAAACGCTCAATCCCCATTCTGAAAGGCAAAGAGGATGGACATCAGAAGAAGAAGAAAACAGGAAACAACCTAGGAACCTGCTAAAGAGGGCCTCTGAAAGCCAGAAGAAGAAAAACAGGAAACGAACTAGGAACCTGCCACAGAGTGCCTCTGAAAGCCTCTGCCCTGCAGACTATCTAAGCAGATGCTGAGCCTGATGGCCAACTGTCGGGCAGAGTGAATGATATTTTATGTAAGAAGTGGGAAATAGTAAGAGCTGGAGAGGACAGGAACTCCACAAAGAGAGCAACAGAACAAGAAAATTTGAACACAGGGAACTTCCCAGAGACTCATACTCCAACCAAGGACTATTCATGGAGATAACCTAGAACCCCTGCACAGATGTAGCCCATGGCAGTTCAGTGTCCAAGTGGGTTACTTAGTAATGGGAAGAGGGACAGCAGTCACAGCACTCGGGAAGCAAAGGCAGGTGGATTTCTCTAAGGGGAAGACCAGACTGGTCTACAGAGTTAGTTTCAGGACATCCAGGGCTATACAGAGACACTGTGTCTCAAAAAAAAGTCCTTGTTTTTGTTTAAAGTTCACTAATTCATATTGATACGTTCTTGTTTTATTTTATTCTTTTAACGTCGAACATTAACATTGACAGCTTTTAAAACAATAAACAATCTTTTATAGGCAATGAATTTTTACTTCAGAATACAGGTGCTATACTAAAATTAATTCTTTATTCAAGAAATGATGAGTAGTGGTGTAGAGGTCTTAATTCTTAATATTTGATCTAGAAAATGGCTTAATATTGCTTTTCAACCATGACCTTTAGTATAATATCAACAATCTAAGTCCCTTTAAATGTGAGACAGCATCTTTAATGTCCAATGAGAATTAGTTTTACATAGATCATCAAATGGCATTTAACCACTATGTTTCCTTGAAACTAACCAAAATATTTTAAATGCCAAGGTTACTTTGATTCAGCAAGTCAAACATATAAAAGGAGATATACTATGTATACTGAGTCATTTTCTGCAGGAGAAATAAAGACACTGCTGGAACCAATTTCAAGGAACTCCTTTCTTTGTGCCGGGAAGCTCCTGTGGAATACTCACAACAGAGGGGAACATGGTTTTGAAGTGGAACCATTAGAATCTTATTTTTAAGGCGAAGTGTTCATATGCATCTCAGAAAGGCCCCACAGGAGTGACACTCTTACCTCCATCCCAGAGACATGAGATTAGATGTTTGCACCACTATATCTAAGCCACAGTGTGGATTTTTTGCTGAAATGACTTAATTGCAATGGTTGGTGTGGTCATGGTGTTTAGAGTTATAGGAGAAAAGAAACAGCTATGTAAGCAAAGAAAACATGGCTTAGCTTTTTCCCTTAATGGCTTTGACGCGCTATGTGGATGCATAGAGGATAGAAAACGGGACCTGTTACATGGCCTTCCTGTCTTCCCAGATCTTGTAACAATTCATCTTTTGCATATGCTGTAGGACTCACTTTTGCCCTTCAATGCAGGATGTGCACAGAAGCAAGGTGTATTACCTTCTTTCTCCGTTGTGATAACACACTGACCAAAATCACCTGAGATAAGAGAGCTTTTATTTAGCACAGATGACAGTCCAGCATCCAGTGAAACCAAGGCAGGACTTAGAGACAGGAGCTGAAGTAAAGCCTATGAGTGACTTGTGCTTGCTGTCTTGCTTTTTATGGCTTGCTCAGTTGGTTCTATGGCTTCTAAAACTTAACTTATTTCAAATTAAAATATACTTACATCCTTTATTCCCTCATCCCTCCAACTTTTTCCATCCACTCAAAAATCAATGTCTCCCTTTACTTAATTCTTGCCATATATATAGGTATGTGTGTGCGCACACACGTGTGGGTGTGTATGTATACATGTGTACATATGTAAATATACAATATATACATATAAAATATGTAAATAAAGCTGACTGGGTCCAGTTAGTGTTACCTAAATGTGTATGTTTTTAGAGCTAACCATCAGCATTGGGTATTGGATAGTCAGGGAGCTCTTGTCTAGGGAGGACTAGACTCCCTCTTTCAGCAGTTCTTAATTGGCTGTAACTTTGCTTTAACTCTTTATAACACCTAAGACCAAACTTCCCAGAGTTAGTATTGCTCAGTGGGAGGTGCTTTTAATCATCAAGGAAATTTTTCCTTGCTCATAGGCTAATCTGATGGAGGCAATTTCTCAAAGGAGGAGGTTACCACTTCGCAGATGACCCTAACTTGTGTCAAATTGAAAAAGCAAAACAAAAATTGAATAGATACTGAACAAGAAAGCAAAACTGATTCCCTTACCAGCTCAGGAAAAACAGACATATCTGGGCTCCCAGGGTTCTAAGGGCTCAGTCTGAGGGCTGCTGACTGTTGACCTTTTAGTGGACCAGGAGGCAGAGATACCTACAGGAAGCAGGCATGGGTAATGTACTTCCAGGAACCTTCCCCAGGGCCATGCATTCTCCACGTATCCTCTATCTTGCCATGCAACCAGAAACTCCTAAAATACTGCCACTGTATGAGGACTAAATTCAGTATCGAGATACATGACAGGAAACGCCACACATTCAAGGGCTTCAAATAATAAAGAGGCAAACATGGCATCCCTCAACCCTTCTACAAACACGCATTGACTTCCGAGGGCAGTGTGTTTAAAGCAACAACACAGGAAGTTTAGCATTCACTTGACCACTAGTGAAACATGAAAACATTGGACCCTGTAACCTGTCACAGAGAAGAAATGACTGCCTCTGAGGACGAAGAGGTGCAGGGACCACCCCCCCCCCCCAGTTCACCAAAAGCTTTAAGGATCAGCAAGTTCATCATATTTGCTTCAGGTCCTTCACTGAATAACCTGTCACCTCCACCTTCTGTGTCAGAGATGGTTCAGTGGAACCTTCAAGCTTCTGTTATGTTCTGAATTACTGCAGAAAGACTTTATGAAAGTTATGAAAAGGATTATGGAACATTTATATAACTTCAAAAAACATTCATCAACTTATTTTGTTTTTTTACCAGTAGGAAGTGCATTTTCATAGTGACATCACAGGCTCATTGTAGGCATCTGTGTACAGATATTAGAATTAATATCATTTGAAAGTTTACAATGTTTGTAATAGTTTTTTTAAATGTTCCTGTATCTCTCTGTCTCTGTTTCTCTCTCTCTCTCTCTCTCTCTCTCTCTCTCTCTCTCTCTTTGAGTGTGCAGTGCGCCTGCACGGGTGTGCTTCCCATGCATGTGAATTCCAGAGCTCTGTGTCTCTCCCCACTACACTGAGGCTATGCACCGCTGCAGGTTCAGCTTGCTGCTGTTCTGCTCTATTGAGCTTCTCCTACAATCCAGGATAGACAAGGGATGCTCACTAAAGAATTGTGTCTTTGCATCCTGGGCTCAGAACAAAAGAACTGCCAGTGACTTACATATGTGTGAACGGTGTCCAGGCACACTGAGGAATCCTTCCCAGGTATGTTTGTGCTTGTCAGTTTTCTCAGACAAACTCATGACACCATGTGAGCAATATCAGGGACAAGATATTGTGAAGTATGATCAAACAGCATTAAATTTTACTAAATAAAAACTTCATGGAAACAGAGGTAAGATTTCAAATTAACAGAAAAATTGAACTCAAATTTCTTCTGTAAATGTATTATATTATACCTGGCAATATCAACAGTCAGCATCACTAAGTCTATACTTATTGTGTGCATAAGGGGGAGAATGTAAACTTTGATGAAAATATTTAGTTTCATCTTAATGTGTAGAAGAAATACATTTTAATGAAAGAGATTTAAAATAAAGATTTTTCTTTGGGATGAAGTGGTCAGTACAGCACTGGAAAAGCTAGGACATGTATTCAAGGAGTGCAGGTTGAAAACATACACATTTCCAATTATGGTTACTTAATTCCCCTCAAAGAGCAAACCTGATCAATTTAGGTTCAGAGAATAGTGTATCTTGAAACCTCTGTGATGCTTTTCCTAATACTCGTAGCTGAACCCCAACCTAGGTCACATGGTCAGAGTTCAACAATACTGTGAAACTCCTGTATTGTCCCCTGCCCCCATGCTTCAATTATGGCAAACAGCCTGATCCCCCATTGAGGCTGGCACTTGGATTGACAGTCATTTTAGATACAAAGAGTTCAAGCAAACAGTAGAGAATTTCATACTAAAAAGCACTGAAAACAGCCTCTGGCCATTAATTAAACCCATATAAATGAACAGAAAAATTACAAGAAATTTAAAAAGTCAAATATGAAATAAACCCAACCAAACCAACCAAACCAAAAACAAAATAAAAACAAAAAAAGGAAAGTAATTGGAAGAGGAATCCAACATTGGCCTTTTTCACAGATAAAGTCTCTGAAGCAGCATGCTTGAGCCCATGTTGTGTTGTGTGGGTTGAATGGTTTCTAATTGTGACGGGCACATCATCTTGATGATGGCTTCAGATGCAGCTAGCTCTTCCTCGCTCTACGTATGCACTACACAGAGCAGTGTGGGGCATCACCCACTTTTTCCAGTCCTGTGTCAAGGCTCTTCAACCCACCCTGTCTGAAGTCCTCAGCCACATCCATGAAAGGCTGCAGAGCAGCCTCAACAGCCAGGTGGGCACAGCTACAGTAAGCAGCTGTGCAGGATTTCCCACACCATCTTCTTCCTAAACAGAGGCACATGCCTCTGAGAGAAGGTGATGGGCTGGCCTCTTGAGATGTAGTCTGCGTATTTACACATGAACATTCCACAGTCACTTCCATTCAGCTGCTGGGGAATCTCCTCTGCTGTCATGCTGCACTGCTTCCAGTCCAAAGGGTTCAGATCTATATTCCTTCTCGCCTTGCTCTCATCCTGCAGATAGTGGAAAATCAGCTTAAGAATGTCAGGTCTCTCCTGCCCCATCGAGTCTAAGTAGACAACGCTCTTCCGTCTTAAATTTGCCACCACCAGGCTCCAGTGGACATCCAGGTGTATGGGCACCAGAATCAGTTCTTTCTCAAAAAGGTTTATGGCCTGGGTCCACCTTTTTACAGATTTGTACCCCCACTCTTTAGTTTGGTATAAAGGAAGGTGTTAAATGCGTGCAGTGTGGGGTAACCTTGAGTTTGAGTTCTTTGCATGAGTAGGATCATATAAAAGTTGATGACTTCATCATTGAGCCACTGCATGTCCTTAAGTGTGTGCATGTCTGTTCTAGTGTGCAGTTTAAAAGCACAACTCAAAACTTCATCTTGTGGCCCTGGGCCAAGGGCATTTTGAATTTCTTTCTCCATTTCTGCTGTGATGTCAGAGCCACGGTCCAGCTCTCCTCCCTCCTCTTGATTGTTGGCCTCTGGTGTTTTGGGCACTTTGATTTGGATGAGGGTGTTTTTGCTGACCCTGTCTGTGGAGAGCTGGGTCTGGGCTCTTCCCAGGAAGTCTGGCTGGGGGTGGTGTCTCCTTTTCCCCTCTTGGATGTTTCCTTGGTCCCTCTTTTCTGGATGACAGATTTCCACCTCTGAGCGTCTTTCTCCATCTTTGATTGGTAACTGATCTTCTGGGACATCACTGTCAGGCTGTTTTGCCTCAGAGTGATTTGTTTTGGACCTGTGACTTTGTCCTTCCACACAGGATTTGATGCCCTTCAAGGTGTCCACAGGGCTTAAGTGAGTGCTGTGAGTGTCAGAGCTCACAGTCTCAATAGGTTGAAGCTCTTCCAACAACCTTTGGTATTTTCCTTTGTGGTGTTTCTCAACATGTTGTTCTATGTTGCAGTATGGTCGCTTGCATCCCTTGCCACCATCGGAAAGCTTCACCTCAGCAGTAGCTTCATCCTGATGGTTTTGGGTGTACTCTTTGGGCTTTCCCTGTACTCTACCCAGTTCCTGGGCATTGTGTATCTGACCCTGGACCAGCTGTTTGCACCCAGGGTCGATTTCAAGGTTATCTTCTTTTACCTTCTTCTGAGGCTCAGGTCCTTCCTCAGAGGGAAAGTTGTTTCCTCCCTCAGCCTGCCATTTCCTCTTTTGTCCCATAGATGGATATTCAGGGTTCCTGATCTCACACTGTTGCCCATGATACAACAGAGAAGGAATAGCTGCTCTGCTTTTTCTCATGTGCTCACCGTCATCTCTCCTGCTACTTTCTGGATTCCCTGTCAAAGTGCAGGTCTGCTGGACTTTCAGCGGGTGTTCTTGCTTAGATGTCTTCTTGATGTTGCCAGGATCACTTGTAGATGTGGTATCCGTACAGGACATCATGTCCACAGTCAGAAAATGCAGGCAGAAGAGCTCAGACTCAGTCTCGCTTTCGGTATTGGAATCAGTTGGATTATGAAGACAGTTGGAATGTGAAGATGTAGGTGACAGGACGAAAGAGAATTCAGTTGATGAATCTGCTCTTTGTTCGAGGTGGCAGTCCTGACCTTAGAACACTTGATGGAAATTTTCTTTACGGTGGGGAGTGGGGAGAGGGAGAGAATTTGGGCTCCAGGCCACAGTGAGCCTTGGTAGAGTCCATACTTGTGGAAATCACAATGAAAGCTGCCTGAAGAGCCAGGTAGCACAGCCAAAGCACGGAGGCAGCAGTGCTGTGTGCCTCAGCGCTTGCCCTGGCTCTGGGCTTCCAGGTTCCACAGCTGGTTGTGATGCAGTTTGACACATCATGATGGCATTCTAAGGCGAGTGGAAGCTCCTCCCACCGTCACCCTTGTTAAGGAACTTAAGGATTGCTTCCTTCCCTTCGGTTCTTGTTTGCCTGTGCCTGTTCCCAATATTGAAGCAAACACAGTCAGTAAGAATTCAGTGAGGCAGAAGTGTAGTCCTGTATTCAGAAAGGGAGAGGTTATTGGGAAGAATAGTAGATTCACTACATTTCATTTTTCTGAAATGGATGCATTTCAAAATGTGGTTCATTTCGGCAAGAAGGTAGCTCAGGCAGTGCAGTTTGTCTAGGCAGAATCTAAGGAAGCCAATGTCCAATTCAACTTATTCCTCTATCGAGCCCCTTTGATTATGGACCCTGATTCATGGGCAACCTCAGCCAGCTCTACCCTGAGTTGTCATCATCACCTGACAGATACCAGTTACAGAGAGGGGGGTGGCTTTTGAGTTGTTGAGCTCTGTGATGAGAGGGGTGTTTAGGGTCTCCTGATCTAGCCCATCCTATGGTACGTGACTGTTAGGGAAGAGTCTCCTGTCTGTCTAGGAAGTTTAATTGTAGCAAACAAAATACCATTGCTTTTCCATGACTCGGATTCAAATGAGTTTTGCATTAGCAGCTGACACTTCCATGAACATGCTTATTAATAACTTAGAGAACTATGCTATGGGACCTTGGTGACAGAAACTTTCCAACAATTGATTCTGTAACAGTTCTGGAGTCAATCAGTGTCCTGTTGGGCTTGCATGCTGTGTTGAGAGTGAATCTCGTTCTGACAATCCTGGCAAAATCACCAATCATGACTGCATCCCTACAAAATCCTGGGCAGAATTCCATTGAAGGACAATATTAAAAATAGAAAAGTGTGAACGATTTTTTAGTTTACTACATTTCAGTGTTATATTTTTTATAATTCATTATTAAAAATTACTTAAATGTTGGATCAATGGACAGGAAATGGAACAGAGCTGTGATTCTCTCATGTGTTATATTCTCCAATTTTCTTCTTGTTTTACTAAATTAATTTGACCATTTAGAAAAATACCAAATTGGTGAGGTGAAATATGGAAAGACAAAGAAGTGAAGGAGGAAGAGACTATGAGGAAGGGATTATGGGCCAGGATAATAAAGGCTGGGAGAATACACAGTTCATCACAGCAAGCCTGATGACCAGACTTTAATCCCTATTACCCACGTGGTGGAAGAAGAGAACTTATTCCTGAGGGCATTCTTCTGTCCTCTACATTCATGCTTTGACATATGCCTGATCTTACATAGACAGACACACCAGACACAGACACAGACACACACACACACACACACACACACACACACACACACACACAGAGAGAGAGAGAGAGAGAGAGAGAGAGAGAGAAATGTAAGTTGTTTTTAATGGTGAGTCAGGAGAGATGGCTCCATGGTTAAGAATGTGACTCTTACAGAGGACCACAATTTGATTTTTACCTCCAACTTGGCATCTTAGAACTACCTGTTCCTGTTGCAGTAAAACTGGGACTCTCTTACAGATTCAGGAGGAAACACACACACACACACACACACACACACACACACACACACACACACATGCTGCACTTTTCTATGTCCAAGAAATACACAAATACAAATATTAACCTTTAAAACTACAGCTAGGATTTGTACTCAGCCAATGTCCGTTCTCAATGCAAACACGGAAACAAAGAATTTTACGAAAACTTTATTAAAATGTACAAAAGAAAATCAGAAGAAATTATAGTAACTAAAATGTAATTGTCCTTTGAGAAAGGCTTTTAGAAATAGTCTGAGAAATTTCTATGTCGGCACACTTTGCAGGACAGAGAACAAAGTTGCAAACCCCATGTGTTTAGATGTGCTTATAGCAGCTTTTGTCACTTTCCAAACATCTAGATCCATTATTGTGTCTGTATAAAATCCATATAACATCTGGTTTAACCTCTGTTGAACCTTCATTTATTAAATACACTTTGATAGGTACAAATCAGAATGTGGGACAAATGAAATGGCTCAGCCTGGTGATCTGTTCCCTGGAAACACAACCATCTTCGTGCCATCCCTGGGACCCACAAGGTAACAGGGCAGAGCCGAGCCTCCTGAAACATCCTCTGACCTGCACATGTGTGCTGTGGCAGGCAAGCAGTCGCTCCACCCCCAGTTCACAATGATACAATGATTGAACGAATTGCAGCTTTGTAAGGTGAGTTGAAGAAAACGACTTTTTTTTTTTCTTTTTTAGAAAGTAGTTTAGGGGGTTTTATATATTTAGATCATCATACATATTTTCCACTTTTTTTTTTTTTTATAATTTATTCACTTTGTATCCCAGCTGTGGTCTCCTCCCAATCCTGCCCTCTCTCCCTCTTCTACTCCCATGCCCCTTCCTCAGTCTACTGATAGGGGAGGTCCTCCTCCTTCATCTGACCCCAGCCTATCAGGTCTCATCATGAATATTTGCATTGTCTTCCTCTGTGGCATGGTAAGGCTGCCCCCTGCCTCAGGGCGAGGTGAACAAAGAGCCAGCCAGTGTTTCATGTTGGAGACAGCCTCTGTTCCTCTTACTAGGGAGCACATTTGGATACCGAATGTATCCATGGGCTACATCTGTTCAGGGGTTCTAGGTTACCTCCATGAAGGTCATTGTATGGAGTATCAGTTTCAGAAAAGACACCTGGGCTCAGATTTTTTGGTTCTGTTGCTCTCCTTGTGGACTTCCAATCCCATCCAGGTCTTTCTATCTCCCCCTTCTTTCATAATATTCCCTGCACGCTGCCCAGAGTTTGGATCTGAGTCTCAGCATATGCTCTAATACCCTGCTGGGCAGTCTTTCAATCATACTAAAATCTGTACACCTATAGAAGCTAAGCAAGGAGGAGGACCCTGGGTAAGATGCTCAAACCTCATTGAGAAAGGCAAATGGGATAGACATCAGAAGATGTAGAAAACAGGGAACAGGACAGGACACCCTTTCAAAAGCCTTTTTGACTAGCTTTGTCTCTCATCATGAAAATTCTGGCTTGGTCCACTAGAGGGCAGAGATACCATAGAGCAGTGCCATGCCTCTGGGCTTTTTCTGCCTTCTCTGACCCAAGGGATCTCCTCAAAGCAGAGAGGTGCTGGAGGAGAACAAATGCCTCTGGATCTGTGGGGTTAGCAGTGAGAAGTCATCTCTCACTCTTCAGCCTGAGGAGGACCCTGGGAGAGAATTTGGGAGCCACCATTGACAAGGTTCTGAGGATTTAATACTTGTGAACAGGATTCTGGGTGAGGTCCTTCCTGTTACTTGGTGACATCCTTCCTGTTAGCTTTCCCTTCCTCTTGGGGGAGAATAATGTTTATTGCTTATTGGAAAGTGCATCTGTGTCATCAACATTTGAGTGCCACTACCAACACAATGCCGGGACATTTGTCAAAATCATGTCCAGTGTCTGCACTTCAGTAGTTTTAACTATTTAACTGAAATAGTTCTAATTCTAATAGTTCTAGTTCTAATAGTTCTAAATTATTTAAAGGAAAACAATATGTACTGCATTTACTGGGATACATTCCAAAGATCCGTATGTAAATAGCACTTAAATTTGTATCATTTAAATTATCATCTTTAATATATGAAGTTTATAAGGCCCCAGTGACATTTTCCCATGAGGCATTGTGCTGTGCAAGTCATGCCTGTCTCTCCTACAATGTTCCTCCTCATGCAGGTAGTGTGAAAAAAAAAATGACAAACTGCCATCATATATGGGCATTCTTGCTGGCCTTTTAGGAAGCATATGCTAAAATTAAAACAAAGTGTCATTTTAAATTGGCAAAATGCAAATTCCAAATTGTTGAGGGGAAAAGGTGTCTCAATGTACTGCAGATCCACACTGACAATCAAACAAATAGTGCATATGCAATGAAGAAAAGGAGCCATGCTCTGTACAGTCCACATGGGCTTCCTTCAAGGGGTCCCTGGCTGCACGTGGGCAAACTCTTACACATGCAGAGTAGGAGGCAAAACAAAAGTAACCACAACAGAATTGTGTGAAATAGCAAAACTGGTAATAATGTATTGGCGCTCAGTAGGATAGAAAACAAGGTACTATTGCCATTAGTACAAAACAAAGAAGGCAAATAGCCCCCAGTACACAGTGACAGGAACAAATCTTCTCCCGTTTTTCTGAGAACTGGCAAAGGACACAAGGGTGTCCTACATAGCAAGAACAATGAACTAAGCACGTGTTTAATCTTACCCAGCCTTCCAAAGCAGCAATGTTTAAATTGTCAACGTTGTAACAGCTTCTAATGACACAAAGGTTTCATCTTAATTTTCAGAGATCATCAGTCCACAGTGGGAGACAATGGGTAAAGGCAGGTTTCAAATAGGGCTGGGTTTACATGAGAAAACCCATATCTTCCTGGTTCCAGCTCTTAAAGTTCCGTGGACTTCCACCTGCAACCTCAGTACCCCCTTGTGTGCACATGACAACATGTCCTCAGTGTGGGTAAGCCATTTTCCCTCCTTCCTTTTAGAGACAGTGCTCAAACTTACTAAGCAAAGTGAGACTGGTGAAGAGGAAGAAAGAACTAGAATTCCAGTTCG